ACAATGTCCTATGCCTCAGAACAGCTTATCCATGGCAGACATTAGTCATGCTTCAGTTATATTTGCTTACCAAACATGGCAATTTCTCCAAGGGAACTGGATGTAGAGCAAGTATTGCTAAATCCCAGGAAAAAAAGGTACTAACCAGGCAGGACAATCTAACTCAAAAATTCATTAAAATATGAGGGGAACATTCAATTAGTTCAGTTTACATAGTGGTAATTCCACTTCACTGACACCAAAATAGTTCTGCAGTGAGGATAGTTACTGAGCCTTACCACCCTGGGAGGCAGAGTCAGAGTCCTGACCACAGGGACCTCAAGGGAGAAGACCAGGGACATCTCCAGCCCAGGGATGTGTCTCATCTGTTTCTGCAGCTCCAGTGTGAGCTCAGTGACTGGCAGCATGGATGCGTCACTGAGTGAAGAACTGAATGACTGAGTAATTGAAGAGATGGGGGAAAGGCAGCCTAGGCAGAGGAGGAGAGCTTGGGTAGTAGGAGAGCCTTGGAAACACAGATGCAATCAGAACAACTTGCTGGAGACCAGGTTACAGGACTGGGGAGCAATGGAGGACAAACCTGACCACTGTTTGGATGGGTGGTGGGTCCGAGGCTAAAAACACTAAGCTTCATCCTCTAGTGGCCAGAGTCTAGTCAACAGGATGCACTAGACAGTGACCTGCTTGGGGCTTTGCTTTAGAACATTCCTGGGGCAGCTGTGGGTGAGCTGGAAGGCTCAGGATTTAGTTTGGATTCTGCTGTGATAGTTCATAGGAGACAGGAAAAGGGCCAGAGGAACTGGAAAGGAGGAGCTGTATAGTGCAGGCATCTGAGTGGCATGTTGCCTGATTTCATGTGAGATGTGGGAGAGGAAAGCATCTCTGGGTCACAGGCTAAGTCGAAACAGACATCCATTCATTTTTCTCACCAAACGCTCCCTGTGCTTAGACTGTGGGCCTGGCAGTGAAGATGCAGGGGGAGCAGGGTTCGGTCCCTGCTCTTACAAGGCACAGAGTGGAGAGGGAGAGAGAGACACATATCCAACAGCAGAAATGCAATACATACTGGAACAGAATAGAGTAGGGTAGAACAGAATAGAATAGAGCAGAATAGGTACAAGATAAGATGAAATAAGAGTTTTATTCTGGCATGTGTTTGGACACAAGAAATATCCAAGCCCAAGAAATGTTACAGGTGTTATAGCTTGTATAAAGCTACTAGGATCATTTGCTCAAACAGTCATTTAAAAAACATTGTGTATTGAGAACTATGTGTCAGACACTGGTCTAAGGGTGGGGGTATGACAGACGAAAATCCCTGCCTACACGAAGTTACATTCTAGTGGCGGAGAAGGACAACCAAGAGAAATAAATGTAATATGGAATATGTGAGACCATGACTAGGGCTAAGCAGAGACAGTGAAGCGGGGAAGGGAGGTAAGAAGCCTCCCAGGCGGGGGCTGGGGAGGCTGACTCCTCGGGCAGACGGCGGAGGAAGGTTTTCCAGAGCAGAGAGCCCGGAGGACCGGACCGCAAGGCTGAGCCACTGTTCCCACGGCTGCTTCTCCACTTCCAGCCGCTTGCTCCGTTTACTTCATTTTCTGAGATTCTCCTCATTCCCTCCAGTGCAAACACTTCAGTCTTGATTCATTGGGTTGGAACTCCACACTCCTCCAAACTGTCCTGGCTCTTTGCGGAAGAGAGAGCCTCAGTCCTTTCTGAGTCTGAAGCCAAGGGGCAGTGATAAATCAAGACTAAGAAGCACTTGGTGTTTTTACACACTTGATACACACACACACACACACACACACACACACACTGCACTGAAGAGTCACGTTGCTCTTTCTGCCCTCAGAAAACCTCAGGCTGGACAGGAGGGGACGGCCGTGTGCCTCCCTGAGCCAACACTGTCAGGGACCTGAGAAGCCTGGGCTCCCCCAGGGAGGCAGAGGCCCTGGACCCTCGCACTTGCTACTTGGCAGAGCTGTCCCAAGGCTGGACAGGAGGCCATAGTCATGGGCCGGCCGGGCAGGCAAGCAGGCACTGACGGTGCAGCCCGTGCTCTGCCTGAGAGCACGGAGGGACAGGCGAGGTTCTGCCTGGAGGGCTAGGCAACCCCTCCTGGTCTCCTGCCCTCTGCCCACACTGGCTGTTTATTAGGCATTTCGGACCTTACGTGAAAAGTCTTGATTTTTCATTCTCCCCAGTCTTCTTTCCCGTCTCAGCAGCCAGCCCCTAGAACCTATCTGATGCTCAGACCAAAACCTGGGTGTACTCTTTTTCTTTTATTAAAAAATTTGAGATATAATTGACATATATGAGGGGGAACCCCCTCAAAAACCAGAAATATCTTGTCCACTCCCCTTGCAGTACAGGCTTCCCCTGCTAGGTGAGTGTTCTAGAAACCCATCCGTATCAGGGTACCAGCTGGTGGTGTTGTGGGAGGCTGCATTCAGCTTCGATGAATTTTTTTGAAGACTCTTTCAAAGCATTTGCCCATTTCATGATGGCTGATTTACAAGCACACCTGCCCACACCATGCTGAGTGTTCAACAGTTTTTCACCAAAAAAAACGGCATGACCTCAGTACCCCACTCTCCCTATTCACCCAGGCTCATCCCCAACAACTTTTTCTTTGTTTCCCTGGATGAAAAAATGTCCTTAAAAGAAAACATCTTGAGGCGAAACAAAAAAATGACAGAAGCACTAAAAGGCATCAAAATCGACGAGTTCAAGAACTGTTTGGGGCAGTGGGAAAACATCTCAATAGGTGTGTTGCATAAATGGAGAGTACTTTGAAGGTGAATAAAGTTTAAACATATAAGAATAATACACAATTTTTTGTAAATAAATTCCATACGTTTCTGGGTCCTCCCTCGTAATTTTAGTTTCAGGCACACACCGTGATTGGATATTTGCATACATTGCAAAATGATCAGCGCAAGTCTCATTAACACCTATCACCATATAGTTACAAATAGTTTTTTGTGATGAGAACTTTTAAGATCTTAGCAACTTCTAAATGTACAATACAGGATTACTAACTATAGCCACCATGCTCTGCATTACATCCTGACTTATTCTATATATTCCTAACTTTCTAACCCCTTTGCCCACTGAATCTCTTGAACAGACCAAATTTGATCCTGCCAGGGGCCCTTGCACTCCAGTCCTTCAGCCTGGAGCATCTCCCCGCCTCCCACATACCAAATCTTCAACAGGTGGCTCACAGTCAGGGGTAGCACGCCTGTGAGTTTCCAGTGGGAAATGCCAGCATGGGAGAGGATGGCTGCATTTGGGGCATTTTGCTGGTTCACTACTGCATGGGGCTGTCGGCCAGGCAAGGGTGCTCAACAGCAGGAGGCAGAGGGTTGCATCACCAGAGGTAAGAGCTAAGGAGGATGGAAGAGCTAGTGTTGCCTACGAGATGGTAACCACCAAGGAGAGGACGTGATGTTGGCCCTTTCTCTCCTCTGCTCTACCCCAGTTAACTGGAGGAGCTGGAACCCAGGAAAGAGAGGGCCTTTGAATGAAACAGGAGGGTTTACAGTTTTAAATTAATGGACACTGAGATTTATTCACCGAAAGGAAACACAACTACGGAAAGAGTCTGCCCAACGCCAAGGTCATCAGCTTCTCACAGCAGTCTGCTGCCCTAGCTCCCAGCTGCGTTTACTCCTGTCCTGGAAGCCTGTTTGTTTCCTTCTCCGGGAACCAGTGGACTAGGAACAGGTGTGCTGTTCATCTGCTAGAAATGGTTGTATTTTCTGCCTCTGTACTCTAGACCCCATCTCACGAAAAGGGATTTTTAAATTCCCAGCCCCTGCTGGAGGCCCTCAGAGTGCTGCCGGTCCAGGTGAAGAAGACACGCAGGAGGAACCACGCTGTGAAGCTCACAAAGAAAGAGCCACTGGCCGCAGCCCTGCTGCTGTTGCTGGGCTCACAAGGTTGGCTGCCAGCCTGCACTCCCTACCGAGCCTTGAGGGGTTTACCGATGGCGGGGACCAGACCCGCTGGATTTCCCAGGGCACACCTGGTGCACGCCTGCTGTCCTAGCCTCTTTGCTAACAGAATTCCCTTTCGGTCAGTCTCAAAAGAATACATTAAATGGCCACTCTACCGAGTATCCATAGAACTCAGGTGATGGAGGCAACTTCGAGGCGTGCTTGAGCTGGTTCATGATGAGGCCTAAGAAAAGGGCAGACCTGAACAGTAAAACTCAGACACAGCAAGAAGGGAAGTGCACGGACCGTGCGCTGGGCTCTCTGGCCCGGAGCTGCAACAGCCTCGGAGAGGAAGTGCTGAGGACTGCCGATGGAACTCCCGTGGACACCCTGGGTGGCTGTCATTTACCCTTCAGTTAGCATGTGATGGGCAGCCTAGCCAGTCATTGTTCCAGTGCAGGCTTGTCATCCTCGAGAGCTCTGAACCGAAGATGCCTGGAGGTGAGACAGAGAACCCACCACCGTACACACGGACCCAGCCGTCGCTGGGGTGTGGCCTGCCACAGGGCAGGTAAGTGGGTCACACAGTGAAGGGCTTGGCCTCCGAGTCTTTGCTTCCTCTCCAGGTTTTTAAAAATCCATCCTGGTCCCAAGAAAGAAATGAGAGAATATATGTACAACTCTGCCATTGACAGGCTCATATTTCTTTACCTCTTTAACCCCTTTTTGCCCATTTTAGGGAGCAACCAGATCCTTTACAACATTCAAAATTCCAAATAAAGTCTATGGGAAAAGTGTGTCCCACATTCTGCCACAACCTTCCTGTGTAACCCAGCGACCAATGATTTTCAAGTTTCTTCTCTGCTGTTTTGTCTGAGCATTTTCACACCTGCACCGGGGGTCCGGTTAAACCCCAAAGGCGCCGACATCTCACAGCACTCGGGGCGCATCAGACGTCGTGTGTCCTTGCCTGGACCCAAAGACTGTTACAGCGATCCCCAACATGTATTTCTCAGACACTAAATTGCTCGTAAGTATTGCTGGAGAAAACAAGGGTTCAGGGATCAAAAATGTTTATTGAAATGCAGATTTTAAAATAGTAACATGTCTCTTTAGTACACGACTTCTTGGAGTGTTTAACATGCAAACAAGCATGTGAATCCCTGACAAAGAGGGAATAGTGAAAGGCACCCCCCTGCTCCTTGACGATGGTGCCCTTTTCATTTTCGGTAGAAAATCTGGAGGGATGACTGTTTGAGGCACATACTTTGGGAAACGTTCTACTCGTCTTACTGGGAATAGATCCTTACAATGCAGAACCAATACACATAAGGCACTAATTATATTAAGAATATCATGAGCTCTTCTCCTTTTTATTCCAACTTCCACGACAGTTTAACACCATGCTTCCTTTTACTCCCCCTGAAAAGACGGACCCATCGAGTGACCTTATGTTCCTATGAGTCACACTGTACAGAGCATGCGGTTACAATTCTGTGGTGAAGTACATCTAAACATTGACATTATTTTGACTTTGTGTCATTACCTACCCAGGGTGAGGGAAGTTTAAACTTTGCAAAAATGAAAATGAAGGAATCAAGGTGTGTTTATTTTTTTCAACAATCAGTTCTATTCCAGGTGTTCAGTGGACATCTTTTTGCTGCAAGCAAAAGCAAACGCAAACAGAACCCTCGAACACCAGACATGGAGCTGGAGACCGCTCTTCTTCCTCAGGCTGGACTCTTGTCCGTTCCAAAGCAACCGCACTGGAGCTCAGAACATTCCTGGCGGCCCTGTGTCTCGCTGCTTTGCACAGTATTTCTGATGAGATTTGAAGAAAGCACTGCCGTTAGACTCTTGAGCGCCCTGTCAGGATTATCCATCTAGAAAGCTCAAGAGACACACAAGCCAAAAGCCCCCTGGAGGAGGTGTGGGCGTCAGTGCTGCACGTTCAAGTCCTCAGGGACAGTCACAAGGCTGGCTGAAACTCCCCGGGGTGCGGGGACACCCCTGCCTTGTAGCCCATTTGTAATACAGTTAGAAAGAAGCACTCGGGCTGAGAGGTGAAAAGCGAAAACGTAAGTCAGACTCTTTTCCTCACACACAATGATCGCCACGTTGAGGAACATTCCTAAAGGCATTTATTGGAGTGGTGATTCCGATCCCTTCGCATTCTCCGGCTTGTCCCTGTTGATTACGTGTGCCTGTAGCTTAGAGTAGTCCAGTAAAACAGGTCCCTTTACAGCTACTAAAAAAGAAAAAAGTCATTTTTTTCTCTTAAAGCACCTTCTAAATATTTTTACTCTGAAATAAGTAAAGCACAAAAGTGTCCTGACTGCACAAGCGTGCAGCTCCCCAAAGCGCACCAAACGCCACGCAGAGCCACTCGAATGACACTGCGTGACTGTGCCGGGCTGCCAACTAGCGGTTCCTCTGTCGTGACATCGGCCAAGCCATGTGCCCATTGTTTTCTGGAATTTAATTCATTTTCAATTACTCCGTCCAAATGATAAAACACGAGATGTGCTACCCCCCCGGGGGTAAAATGCAATGACTGTTTTTAGTGCGGCCGTGTTGTTAGCTGGGAAGCACCACAGCCTGTTCTAATTAGGCCCTGGTTACCGTCTCCTGGAAAACAGCTAGTTCAAGAAACCTGAGTGAGATCCTGCAAAATGGAAGGGCCGGCATCAACAATCTCGCCGAAGCCGGTGTGACGGCGAAGCTGGCAGAACCATATGCAAAGTCTTCCCCAGAAGCAGAGCAACAGTCTTGGGAAGGGAAAGTATTTCAAAACTAAAAACAGCTTGGGGACTGACTGGCTGGCTGTAAAATATAGTTTAATATGTGTACCAAAATAGTCAACAAATTATTCTGCTGATCAAGGACTACTGTGCAAATGTCTCACATCTGAATCATTGTAACTGCCTGTCTCTGAAGTATTGTGGAAAGTCCTGAACAGTCGTAGGTGCTGGGGAACGCCGCAATCTGAAAACGTTGGTGATTAGGCCTTAAAAATAAAAATAAGAGGACTCTTGGGGGAAATACACACATATACACACATGAGAATTTGTATCTCCTGTATGCCACATATTTAATATAAACCTTTGAAACACGTTCAGATGAAATAAAAATCATAGTTCTCGAAAAGTAAAAGATCAACTTCATGGCTAACGAGTCCCGACTGCCCCAAACATCAGTATGCTTTTTCTTTCTATGCAAAAGGATGCCTTCGGACCGCTTACATGATATGATACACAAACCCATTTTCAAATAATAAAGCCAGTCATCTTGCAATTTTAAAAAATTAGGTAAAAGATGCTATGACACATCACACACACACACACACACACACACACTCCAATGACACAATTTGACCTCTGCTAAAATAAGGACACGAAGACCTTTAAGTGCAGCGGGAAGGGCCCCTGTGGTCACCCCTCTCTACAGTCCATGTAGTTGCCTTTAATCCAATAGCAAATCTGGGCATATTTGAGAGGAGTGATTCTAACAGCGACGTTGAAATCCTGCGGAGAACCATTCATGTCCACCCACTGGTGCCCTGAAAAGATGCCGATAATCTTTCGCTCCCACTTCTGCTGCTGTCTCTTCCACATCCTCACGTAGACCCCGGACCCGCTGGCCCCGGGCTGGGCATCGCACTGCTGGTAGAGCAGGTCGTAGGTCTCGTCTTTGACGTCACAGAAACGGTACACCAAATTGCCCGGGCGGTCATTGTCGTAACCGGAGAAGTGGATTCTGCCCCCTGGCAGCTGCTTGGCGGGAGGGCTCACCCCAATCTTCATGAACTTTCTCTTGTGAAGTTTTTTGAGTTCCAGGAGGGCATAGTCGTAATCCATGCCAATGTCGTTGGCATTGCCCTTGATCCAGCCTTTGGGCACATGGGTGCGTTTCACTCGGATCCACTGAAATTTCATCTTCTCAGGCACCGTGGAGCTGGAGTTGTTGGCCCCTCGACCACCGTCCTTATACTTGGGCTTCAGGAAGCCCACTCGGAGTTTCTGGGTTCCTTTCACGTAGGTTTTCCCATCGTGTATGCAGTGGGCAGCCGTGAGGACGTGCTTTTCGGACACCAGGGTGCCAGTGCAGCCGGTCGATAACTTGACCGACGTTGAGAAGGGGTAGTTGAGCAGGAAGTCCTTCCCAAAAATGCTGAACCTGCTGTCGTAGCCGTAAATCTGCCGCTTCCTCCGAGACTTGCCCGAAGACTCAGCCCCACCGCCGCCAACGACATAAATGCCCACCTGAGTCTCGGTGCGGCTGCCATTGGCATAGAGTGTTTCGTAAGACAGGTACTGCTTGACCTCTTCATAAGTGGGCAGTGGAGTTCCCTTATGACACTGGGGTCCACATGAGGAGGACACTTCCAATTTGGCTTTGGCCCCAAAGTCGGGCTTAGGTAAGTAGAGGGTGGACTGGGGCAAGATGACAGGGAGGCGGTAAGCAGGCCAAGTGGGTTTCCAGTGGGGACCGGAGGGGCTCGCCTGGCCAACAACACTGAGGAAGAGGAGGAGGAGGAGGAGGAGGAAGAGGAGCCCTGGGATCCCCGCCATGCTGAGCACCACTCTGTGGAAACAAACACAAGGAGGTCAGGGGGGCAAGGGGCCTCAGCACTCTTCTTACCACAGAAGCAGTCGGCCGCATGCCTGTCATTGTTGCTACGTCTGCAAACCCTCCTCAGGAATCCGGGTGTGGAGAGCAATCCCCAGATAACGGTCTCACTTACAATGCAAGGGCTTGACCTTGGAGCATTCCCGCGGCTAGGTGCCCAAAATGAAATCAGGTGTTCATTCCTTTCTACGTTTAAGATGCTCCAAATGACGGCCCACGGCAGGGCAGCGTGCGTGGGGCATTCATCCCCAAGTGAACTGTTGGGCCATCCCCAATTTCCCTGTAGTTCTGAGCCTTCTTTTGTGCTTCATACGAAACCTCTATCTTTTCCTACCTCTCTCATCCCCTGACTTCCTTTCCTTCTTTCCTCTCATTCTCATTATAGCATGAACTTGGAGCATCTACAGAGCAACTTGCTCACGTAGAGGACAAATTTAAATTCCTTAGCTTCCTGAGTGACAAGGCGTCCCGAAGGGACAGCTCCACAGTGTCACACGTACGGGGACTCCCATTGCCTATAAATGGTGGGTGCATTCAGAAGGGTCTGAGACTTTTTTTTTTTGCTTTCAATTTAGAACACCCTTAACTGTAATAAATTTAGTGCCAGAGTAGTCAGGCCTCTATCAAAACATTTCTTCTTCCTTTGGGTTCTGTCTTACACTACCAGGACCTCTGTCAAGGGTCAGTCCCATTATGACTGTTGCTGTTGGTGACCTTTTCAGGTCTTGCATCTGTGGTCCCAGCTAGTCTAAATGCCTTGAATGCGGACCTAGGCTAGCACTCGACACAGATTTGTTGAATGAATGACTGTATTAGTGGAAGAATGAGGGAGGGATTACGGTGGCTCAGAAACTACTTTTGTTGAAGGATGCACAGAGAGATGAATGAGGATGATGTGGTAGCTCAGAGAAAGGGCGTGAAGTCGGCTCTAAGGGTAAGAAGAGGGAGGTGTTGTGGAGGAGGTGTTGGTTGAGGTGGGCGTTGCAGCTGAATGGAAGTTAGACAAGACAAGACAGAGTGAAGGGGACTCAGAGGAAACAAGCCCGTGAGCTCCGGGCGTCCTGCAGCAGTACGAGGCATCCCAGGAATCACGCTCAGCTCAGCTCAGCTCAGCTCAGCTCAGCTCAGCTGGGGAGGAGCAGAGGCAGAGGCAGAGTCAACAGGCGAGAGTTGGGTTACGAAGGGCTCCGTGTGCGAAGTGAAGGAGTTTGGACTTTCTCCTGAAAGGTATGTTTAAAGAGAGATCCATTGCCCCAGAAGAAAAACAAAGAAACAAACAAAAAGAAGCAGTAGAAGTAGAAAGTAAAAGTGGTGGTAGTAGAAAAAGAAATGGGAAGTAGCACTTCCACGAATGTTCAAGCATTGGTCGGCTCTGACCAGCTCTGAACCTTCTGCTCAAGAGAAACTGTCTCAGCAGGGCAGTTCATTCATAACCCAAACCCCAAAACTAGAGCAAGGAGGGGTCAGGTCTCGGGAGGCTAGTGGAACGTAGCAGGAGCCAGGAAAACCCGTTTCATTATTCTCACCCTCTCCCTCTTCGCCAGTACAGACCCGCTGGCAACTCTGGGTGCCTTTTGCTTTCTTTTACAGACGACTGAAGACTCCCGTTGAGCTGATCCAGTCCAGCTGAGTATGCCAATCTATACCCCCACTATCCCCCCGCTGTATTTCTCAAACATGTGGGTGCCCCACCCACCTCTTGGATCCTTTTGCTTGTCTCCTTGTCTTTGATTCTACTTCCATCAGGGAGATCAGGGTTAGGAAAGGAAAGGAATGAGGTCCTGGAAAAGCCTATTCCTCAGGACTTCCTGATTCTTTGAAACTGCTCCTCCACATTTTCCCCAATAGGAAGGATTCCCTGGGCCCTTTTTGAAGGAGGAAATACATCCAATTATTTCTCTAAAGCCTTGAAATCATGGGGTGCGTGTGCATACACCTTGAGGGTACTATCAAGACTGAAGTTCTAAGTAAATGTGGGAGGGGTCGCTAAGGCTGAGAGAGGCCCCCTCCCCAGTGTGGGGTAGGTGTGGTGAGGGTGACCCTTTAGGGGATTACAAGGGATGGCTCTGTACCTGATTATTCCCATGTCCTGCGCGAGGACCCAGCTCCTGGATGTATCTAGTGCTTGGACAGCCTTTCTGCTATGTAAGTTCCTGTCCAGGTGACTAAATGACCCCCCACCAGAATCCCTGCCAAGTGTGATATATACTAGGGGGGATCCTGCGTCTCCCACAGGACTGTGTCTCGGAGCCCTAGACACTCCCCCTCCTTCCTTTGACTGACACGGAGGATGTTGATGCCCGCGCTCAGGGGGCCGCAGATGTGGTAGGCCGCGTTTGACTTCAGCTCATCTTAAGACAGAAAACACAGAATTCAGACAGAGGTGCAAGCTGCCAGGTATTCCTGTTATCAAAATACTGTAGGACTCTCAGGAGAAAGACAGGAGGCAGTGAAACAATGTTACACTATTGTACAACAATGATATAATGTTATAACAATGTTATACTATCATAAGGTGTAGACAGCATTTTCCATGTGGATGACGAACATGACAGTTAAAAGATGCTTAAATTAATTATCCAGATCATGCGTTTTAAAATCCCAGCCCTGAAATGTATATGTTAACAGGATTCAGGGAATAGACAGCGAGAATTATCGACTGCGGCAGAATCGCTCCAGTGGCATCTGTCTTTAGCTCCATCCATTTGTCCCAACACTAAACCAGTCCATTGGCGAGGGTGTCAGAGAAGAGAATGGCAGGAAATTAGAGACTAGGATCTACATGGGAACCTCGTGTTAATGAGTTAACCCCCTCTCAGGCAAAAATTAACTCTAATTCCATTTTTCCAAGTGCTCTGCCCATTTAAAACACACTTCCCAAGGCCTGGAAGCATGCCTCATTTCACACGTGCGACCATGGCACACCTCTTTCACTTGTTCATTTCTCAACGGCTGTCTCTCAGAAAGGAAGGGTGTTCCTAGAAACCAGTCCGTGAGAGTTCGTGGGTGTGGAGAAATGAGAACAGGTCTCTCCCTGGGTGTGAGCAGCGCTGGGCGGGCAGCGAGGCTCCCAGACTAGGCACAGCCTCACTCCAGCCTCGCAGTGCAGAGTCTCAAATGTGTTCCGCAGCAGAACGAGGGATGACTGTGTCGGGCACCTTCTGGGACCCGTACACACCGCACAGTCTGCCAGGGCTGCTGCGGAGTCCACCACGGAGCACTACTGTTCTAGATAGAATATTACCTAATGGGTAGTAGATAATGTTACCAACTCAGAGTCTTACAACTGAACTTCTGGTCGTTTAGCCAGTTAAGATGTCAGCCATCTATAAAAAAAGAACTGCGAAACCAGAGGGCAAGGTGAAGTTCTAATCCCTTAAGAATAAGCTTTTCAAATACCCCCCAAAAACAGTGATTCTATTCATTTGAAACACTGCTTACAAGTTCCTTCTATTATTGCTTAAATCTATTCATTAACTTGTGGGGTACAATCTTGTTCTAACAACATTTTCTATCTTGATTCAAGTTTATCTATAACTGAAAGCTGCAAAACTGGATTTTAAAACCACTTTAGTTCACACTTAGAAATTAACGCAGGTCAGATTATTCCAAACTGTTTCAGTTTTTAAAAATACCTGACCAGAAATTGGAAAATAAAGTTGTGTGTTCTCAGGTCCCCAGATGGGTTTAAACTGACATGGTATTAAAGTTACAGCTTCATAAACTGCTCACTCCTTTACCAACTGTGTGTTTAGGGTGGTTTAAAGGCTGCTATGAGTACCAGGCATTCTCTTTAGTCTTTTCAGGTCCAGGCTTCTCTAATTTTACACTTTTCTAGGGTCACAAAAATCCAGGTCAAGCACTGGGTTGTTTTAAAGACCACTGTCCTTTACTACTCAGGCAGGAGCTTCTACTAATGAAATTTTGGGGGGTGGAAGCATTGGAGAAAAGAAAAAGGAAATTTTATCCTGTGTATCTCCTTATCTGGGGGATGAGATTTGGGTGCTCAGTCTCAAAGGGAACAAAGGCCTCCAGCAGAGGGCGGCTTTCAGGAGTGGAGGGGGGGTGCTGGGCGTGAAACGCTCTCAGGAAAGCCGGAGGGAGAACTGACCCCACTGCTTGCTCCCCGAAGGCCTTTCCTGAGGTGCTTGCACCTCCCCCTGACCCCTTCCCCATCGATGACACACCAAGGGTAACGGAGACTCTTTAAAATTAGGCTGGTGGCTTTGCATCAATTTCTTGGCTCACCTGATTATAGAATTAATTCCCCAGGAGACAAATAATGATTGTTTCCAGTTTTATAAACTGTAGGTAAGCCTGTGCCTTGCCCATTGAAGTATTTAAGCATAAATACTCCAGAATGTAATAAAAACATTCATAAGCTCACAACTGGAAAGGTAACTAAATAGGGTATATAATTTTAAATTCTCTGTCTTTACAAATGAATCCCATTATCCTTAATAGAACTGTCTGGAAAACTCAGACCTTAAGAAAAAGAAAGAATATTTCCAAGTCTTATCTCATTATATCTAAATCTGGATGAAGAAAATTCAGGTATACAACATTTAATTTTTAGGAATAAGCCTTTATAGGGTACGGATTCCACATATACATACTTATCTTTTAAAGTTCTCAACTGAGTATTTTCATGCATTATTTCACCTAAAAGCAAAGCAGAATGGAAAACTAAGGTAGGCAAATATTTTTTTCACCATGCTTAGTAATATGGAAACTGTATTCCTTTTGCACCTCTGTGTATCTGACTCACAAGAGGATTATACCTTCCATGCTCCATCACTCCTTGTGAGCCACTGTGCCGCCGTCCCCTGTCTAAAATTATGGACGCCTTATGAGGATGCTGCCACCTCACAAGCCCACTACTAACCTCGTGGCGAAGGAACAATGCACATGATCCGATGTGCAAACAACACTCAATCTGCTTGCAGACTGGGCGCCGAAACTGCCCTCTTCTAGTTCTGCACCGTGGTCTTCAAAACTGCAACAACACAGGTTTCCTCAAGAGGGCAAGTGTTTGGGAGAATGAAAAACTCCCATAGCAAGTAAGTGCTGGGAGGGAAAATCTAATTCATAGGACAAGGTGTAAACTACTGCACAACCTAGGAACTTCTGTGACCACTATAAACAACAACGACAGAAAGAAACAGTGGGAAAGTTTGTGAAGATAAAGGTTTTGAACACCAGTTGAAAGAATGACAAAGGGTTTTCCACGGAATCTGTGGCCAGGGATAGTGAACAGTGAAACCATGCTAATTTCTAAAGCAAATACCTAAAAACGGACAAAGCTCTGTAGCCAGGCTTGCTCTCATTTTCCAAAGTTACGGAATCTGTTACAGGAAAACAGACCTGATCACATAACGGTTTAAGAATTATAGTCTTGTACAGGACAGAAATGCAGGGCATTTCCAGTCCAGCCACCCTACACATAATCTTGTGGTCCAATGAAGCTTAACTTCTTCTCTGTCAGATTTTAGGCAAAATGAACTATCCCAGTGACCTGGAACAAACCTGGCAGAAGAACAAGAACAGAGTGCATAAAACTGTCAATGGTGAATCCATGAGAAACAAATTCCCCAGAGTCCGTGGGAGTTATGCATGAATAATGCCTGGTGAATTGAATCCTGGGGGGGTGTATGAGCGGCCATGTGCAGGAGAACCTGAGACTCTCAAACGCGGCAGAGCGGGGCCAACAGTGTTCTCAGGTCCACTAATGGGCACTTTGGCATTTATGCTACAGACAGAAAAACGCACCCACCATTCACCATCTACCTGAATAAGCTGTCAGTATTACAAAATGGGGTCCATATTAGTTACCTTGGAAAAAAGGCTTCCTTTCCAGTTCAGGCCCAAGACAGCATGACAGATTATCTCTTCACTTTATGTAGGTGGGACAAAAGCAAATGAAACAATTGATTCAAATGCAGATAGTGTGCATATGATCGCAAACACTTTCATGAGTAAATATAATGGCTTTTTGTGGCACTTCCTAAGTTTCTTCTCTCCAACCCCACCTCCAATCCACTCCTAAGAGGCTTCTTGAGAGACACAGGGATAAGGTCTATTTTAAACGCTCTATGCACAAATAAGATCCTGAAACAAGTGCTCTAAATATCGTGATATTAATTTGCCATTCAGCTTTTGGCCACGGCTAACTTCAAACTATAAATTTAACTCTTTCCCACACCACCACGCAAAAAATGATCGTCACATTGGCCTATCTGATCCTAAAAAGCGCTTGGGACCCCTCAAGTTCAATTCCAGGAGCTGGGAGAAGTCAGCCCCATGCCAACACTAACTGGGAGCTTTCCACCCACTAGGGGCTGTTTTTGAAGTCTCTTGGGTGTCGCCCAAAGGGCAGTAAAACAAACTGGATTTTCATCAGCTGTTTTCTCCTTATGCAAACCAGATTTGCAGCCCGAAGGGCAGTGGCAATTTTCCTTCACCAAAACAACTTTTCTTTCCTCTTTTGAAACACTTTTTAATTTTTTCAAGCTTTTATTTGTAAGTTAACTCATGATAAGTGTCCACGGGCTAAAGAATTATTTGCTTTCAACAACCGTTGTTCACAGACACTAGTTTCTTGGGGGAAGCACACGATCATCAACTTAAGACTCCACAGAAAAGATCCTAGTCCCCAAACTGCACTTTTTTTTGCTTGCTAAGGTGTGTTCACAATCACGTGCCTAGGATTAAAAATCAATGTTCAGGTCTTGTCGTTGGCACACATATACGCACAACTCAAGGAGAACAAGTGGTGGTGGTGATGGCGGTGCGTGCGTGCTCGCAAGAGGTGGGGGTGTTGCCACCGTCCAGCCAGAGGAGAGCCTGCCCAGAGCCAGCTTTCTCCACTCCCACCCGGCATCCAAGACAGCAGTTTTCGGGAGCCTCTCTCCCCATCCGCTTCACGGGTGACAGTGCGTGAATCCGAGCGCTCAGCAACGGCTGAGTCTCCGCACAGCTCCTTCAGGCCGCAGGTCCCAGCTCTCGAGCCCCGAGGGAGGCCCGGGCCACCTCTCGGGTGCCCCGCGCACGCACCCCACCCCGTGCGCACCCGCCCTTTGTCCCGCTCCTCCCCTCGCCGCGCTGCCCCGCGTCCGGGAGTGCGCCCGGGCCGCACCCGCACTCACCCGCGCCGGGCTGCCCGCCGGGGCAGGGGTTCCTCGCGCGGCTCAGACAGGTGTGGGCGCCGGGAGGGCGCGCTCGGCTCCCATGCCTGCCCCGCGGCGCGACCGAGTGCTAGCGGGCAGGCGGGCCGTGCCGGCAGCGGGCGGGTCCGCCCCCCGCGCCTCGCGCGGCCCGCCCGCCCCGCCTCCGCCCACGGTGAAGCCGCGCGCGCCGCCACCGCCCCCGCCCGCACCCCCGCCCCCCGCGGCCGGACGCAGCACGGAGCGGGGCGGCGCGGCCCAGCGCAGGTGGGTCCCTGCGGCGCAGCAGCGCTCGCCTGTCCCGGCCTCTCGGCGCCAGTCAGCGCCGGTTCTCGCGGAGGGCCCGCTCTGCCCAGGACCCCGAGCGCCTTCACCCTTCCAACGCCGCGCCCGCCGCGGGCGGAGTCCGCTTTCTGCTCACAAAGACAGACGCCTCCAGATCGCTGCCTGCTTGGAGAGACACGTACCGCTCCCCCTGCCCCCAGTCGACCGAGCTGGGGACGCGGGCCGCAGCTGGTGCCCAGGGAAGCCCCTCTGCCCGGCGAAATCCCTGTGCGCTCCCCACCCCACAAACCCTGGGAGAGACGACCGAGTTCCTTTCCGCTTCGCCCAGTTCCTCAGGTGCCTCCAAGGAACGGAATCCCGAATTCTGGCGTCACGACCACCAAAGCTTTGCCTCCCCTCCTGCATTGCATGGGGGCCGGAGCAGGACAGGGGCTGGGCAGCCCCGGGTGTCGGCTGCTCGGCCCACGGGCTTCGGCTCTCGCGCGGCACCAGCTGGTGGAGCCACCTCCTCGCCCAGCGGGCCTGCCTCTCAAAGTCCCTCCGAGGGGTCCACAATCGGGGTCTTCCCTCCAGCCAGGCGGGTGACTGTGCCATTTAAGAACGTAGAGGTAGAGCCTTCCTACTGTCTCCTAAATACATCAGTATTCTATTTAAATGACTATTTACCGAGCACTTGGAGCACCTCTGGGAACCGGGTTTACACGTAGGCGGTTGTGAAGAAGGAGGCGCAGATGACCACCACGTTCCAGATAAGGAACCCAGGGGCTTACGGAGGTTTAACGACTTGCCTCGGAGCACTGCGTACACACTTTTTCTATCAAGTCTTTTAGCCTTTCTCCCATCAAAGCCTGCTCTCAAAAAGGGGGCGTCTCACATACCATTTCATGCCAAAGTGTTAACGACATATCTAATATGTTTGTGTTTCTAATCTGTTTTAAACAGCAAAGCCTCAAATACATGTTATTATGTAGCGTTTCTCAAATGCGAGGGAAACTGATATTCTGCATTATTTTAAGGGCAACATTTTTTACGCCGCCTCAGTATTGGATTCAATTATTTTCTTTTAAAATGTTGCATATGTACATACAGTAAAACCAGCCATAACCTTATGGCATCTCTTTTAAACAACTCTGGAATAAAACCAAAACAAATGTATAAATTAAGCATAAAAATCTCCCCCCAGAACTATAAAATGTAAATCGGTAGTGTTTACTCAGCGACCAGCGTTATGCGGTACGGATTGTGTAGGGCGGGTACGTTTGAGTTCTGTGCGAGTCTCCCGCCGTCATGGCGTGAGAGGTGTCCTGAGCTGACCCAATTTTCTCACCTCTTTCCTGTTGCAGCTATCGCACCTCCTTTCCTCACACTCTGTGCCATTGTAATAGCAGCCGTAGAGTCTAGTACATCATTTAGAGACGGGCTTTGCGCTGTTCCTTTGTTGTTACCGTCAGAACCGAAGTGGTAACCGCTTGTGGCACTGCATAGCACTCATAGGCACTGAAGGCCAAAGCAGCTCTTGGTAATCACACATTTACCCCATTGGTCCAAACTGTGTTCACATTCGTATTTAAATCATAAATAGGAAAAAATAATGAATCTTTAAGGGTCTGTAGTTCTCAACTGGAGACACACCACTGAAAGTCAAATACTTTACCTAAGAGAGGAGCTGAGGGTGGACTTGGAAGGAGGGGAGAAGGGAGAGACTTCCCAAACTGTGCTCGAGTTTTATTAGTTTCACTCCGATTCAGCAAATGCCTTTTAGCACATAGTACATGTAAAGTTTTGTTCCAGGCTCCAAATCAAAGAGACACCCACAGGAAGGCAGACCAGGACACGATTAAGAGGGCGCCAGGGCACTCACTCAGCTATGGGAGCTCCGCTCCGGGCTCTGCCACTCACTGGCTGTGCACCTTTGACTTACCTCTCTGGGCCTCCATTTCCTCCTCTGTGAAATGAAGACCACCTCATAGGGCTGCTTTACGGATTGAGTGAATCAATGCACCTAAAATGGTACACGCACTGTTTGATGCACAGAGAGTCCTTAACCAGTGCTGGCTATTACGTTATCTGCTATGCGGCAACAATGTGCCTGAGCTCTGCTTTGGAGCCCCGGTTCTCAGCACACCTCAACCCACTCCTACACTCACTGTTCATTTGTCCCTGCAGTCTTAAAAATGACGTTGTATCCAATCCGGGGAGGTGGAATCACGGAGGATAAGATCGTTACTGCCATCATACAGAGTGGGAAACCAAGACACGGAAGGAGCCAAGAGCACATCCTTTGCCTGCAGCCGTCCCCACAGCCAGTCCCGAGCCCACCGCTCCCTTCCCAGACCGGAGCTCTAACTACAGCTGATGGAAGGGGGCTCGGGGCTGGAACAAGCACCATTGCCTCTGTTGTTTCCTGGAGCTGTCGGTGGTGCATGAGAGGATGCCACCCGGCTCTAAGGTTGTCACTGTGATTGCCCCAAGGACAATGCTGAGAACAGGTGTACAGAGTACTCTGACCTCCCACAGAAATGCCTTGTGTAAATAAATGGCATGTATTCTCGGGCTGAGCCTAGATATTTGCTTTTCCTTTGTATTTGCCCACTCCCTTCCCTAAGAAAAAAACCAAATCAAAAAACCAACATTCTCACTGCTTATTAAGAGTTCAGTTCAACGCCATAATCATAATCCTCAAATACCTTCCATGTGTATAGCCACTGAGTGGTTAAAAATCTGTGCAGGTCAAGGTCCAGACATTCACTGAGTACCAGCTCTATATAAAGTAAGTAGCTCTACAGAGGCAAATCTCACCTTTAGGAATCTATGCTATGAATATAAACAAAGCAAAACCAAAGATGGGAGAAAATGAGATAAAGGCTGATCAGGCCACAGCTAAAAAGCATGGAAGATAGAATTAATAATCCCCACTCTGGCAGGGATTGATGGCTTCCATAAGGTGGTACAATTCAAGCTCAAAGTCAGAGGATGAAGGTCTGAGCAAAGCTTTAACAAACATCCTCCTCTGTAGAAATGAGAACATCAGCGGGTACATGAAAGGGGTAGAACTGGGACTGGACTGTAATATTGTAATTATAACTATGTTTATTGAATGCATGCTATATGCCATGTAGGATACTATACACTTTATTACAAGTAATCTTCAAGGCAAACAGAAACTAGGGACTACGATCATCCATTTTGCAGAAGAGGAGACCGAGGTTTAAAGTGGTTCAGCAGGACACTCACTGCTGTACTATTGCGTCTTCTACTCAATCTCTTCCATTCATTTGCCAGGCTCCGGTTCTGTGTTATGTTGCTTCCCAGACCTGACTTTTTTTGGCTTACAGTAAGGAGGTTGAATCACTTGCTGTTGTCAATACAGCTCTAAATATTCTTTTGATCCTACCTTGCTTCTATTCCCTTGTACAATCACTGGGTAATGGCCTGTTAAATGGCCTCAGGGCCAGAGACAGGATGGGACTGAAAGATAAGTGGAAGTGTGGGCAGGCAGGGAGGTGAGAGGCCGGTGCCAACTCTGAGCTGCTAAACTCAGTTTTAGGGCTTATTTTCCAGGAGGCCAAGCTCCATACGCAGCTTCACAGTTTGTCTGTTTGAAAGTTATCAGCCAGTGAGGCTTATTTCCAAGGACATAAAATTGCATATTTAAAGATCATTTCCATATGGTTTCTTATTTTCACAATAATATAGATCCAGTGGTTTATTATTAAGTAAGGGGTTTTTCAGAGTCGCGTAGTGAGTGAAAACAGAAATAGACCGAGTGACAGCACAGAGGGCCGGGAGGAGACAGTTTATACCTGTGTCTGTGACGGTGCGTAAATCACCTCACTGGCCTGGCCTCGAGGCTGCATCTGTAAAAGAAGAACCTGGATGACCTATTACAGTCCTTCAGTTTATGACATTTTAAGACTTACGGAGGATAATCCACATACCTCTGGGCATCTCTACCATGGGGGCCCGGGGTAGCATAGGATGTGAATCCAGTTTAAAATTCATACTGACTTGGATTCAACTTAGAATTCATGCAGTTGCTGGGTGGCCATGGGCAAGTTTTGCAGCTTTCTGCACCTCACTTTTCTCATCTGTGCAGTGGAGCTAACAGAGCTGTTGTAAGGACCGGGTGAGTGAATCAGTACGAAGCACACAGCACAGGGCTCGGCACAAAGTAAGTTCCAAGGGGGCATCACCGCTTAGTAGTATCACTACTACTACTGCTACTACTGCTACTACTGCTGCTACCACAGTGAATGCTCGAGAAATGTTTTAACATTTGTTGAATGAATGAGTGAAACTGTTATAGCATCAATACCAAAAAGTTAAGCTAGATTTCCTAAGAAAAATTTATCTCAGGATTCCTGTTCAACCCCAAATCTTCTTGTCATAGGTCTGGTTTGTGGGCAACAAGGAGTTTCTTAGTATTAAATTCAGGAAAAATTACCGATTCGAACAGGTGGCAGGATTGCATTTTTGTCTTCTAATTTTCCCCTGTGGTGCCATCGGTTGTTCTTTTATTCAATAAGTATCTATTGAACCATTTATC